GAGGGAGTAGGTGACAACATGACTGACTGACTGACTGACTGGTACAGTCACACACACGCACTCACACAAAGTAGGACTACACACACAATCCATGAGCACACACAGATTAACAGTGCCAATTGAACTTCGATAAAAACATAGAGAGAAGTAGAAGAAGTGCAACGTCAATGCTCCACACAGGTCACAACAACATAATGCATGCCTCCGTTATTTTTCCCGGACTCTTTGTCTCTCTCAACAACCTGCGGACAAGTGTCACACAAGTAGAAACATACTCTCATCGACTGCATTCCACCTTTTAGAAAAACATCGCAATTGATGGAGTAACCTAACTGATCCACATCCGCTTACTCCACCTCGTCGGTCGTCGCACCAGAGTTGTCATCATTTGCACCCTCATCCTCACCCTCGAAACGAGTATCCTCCATAGTCACTACCAACAACTCATTTGAGGAGTTTCTGGCATCATCGTCGTCAGGATCATCATCTATTATACGAGAAAAAGTGTTTTGGTCTCTTCTCACCGCGAGCTCGAGATCGGGTAGAAACACCACCAACAGTGACCCCTCCGGGGCCCGTTCCGTCCGCCACAGCACAAGCATCGGAACCCACATCACTAAGTGCAACCATGGCCCATGAGTCACGACCTCTTCCCTTCCCCGTGCCTCTGCCCCTCCTAGGGGGGCGGCCACGAGCTCTGTCAGTGCTAACCCTCGCTCGTGTACCAACAACGCGCGTGCTACCGTCCTCCTCAGTCAGTCTCCTCTTCTTGTCGGCATGACTTGTCTTCATATTGTCCATGATAGCGGCTGGTCGTTGTGCTGGAAGCGGGGGCATGCCCAACGGACTGCTCGGAGGGAAACGCATCGTGGATGATGACCTCTTTTTTTTACATCTCTGAAGAGTGGATGACGAGCCTGCCCTAGACGCCTCGAGTGTATACACGTCTCACGCCGCAGGAAGTAGGGGCATGAATGGTGAATTGCTTTTCACCCCTCTAACCTTTGCATGACTAGAGGCCGAGTTGACTACACCCCAACTCCTGTGGACCCGCTCTCTATAAGTGTCGGGTGAGATGGTCCGGTGCACACTGTGTCTGTGCATCCAACCACGCAGGTACCTGGTGGCATTGGTGGAACCCCGTAGAAAGAGTGTCGAGTCAAGTTACTATCTCGTGCAATGCTCTGCTGAGGTACCACGTACTTGGTCATCCATCCTCTCCTCCGCCGTCGCAGCGCCCCGATTGTGCACGATAATCTCGTGGTCAACGACCTGCTGCACACTCATATCCACCCTAACCTCGAGCCTCTACTCCACCTCTGGTCTACCCTTTGGCCCACTCTTAAGTCTGCAAACGAGTGTACCATCTGCTCCGCCCTCTGCTCCATTGTGGCCTCCACAGTCTCGCGCACCGTCTGCTGCGCCCTCTGGTCGATCACTGGTTGTGCGCCAACAGCGCTCCTCGGCTCAGTGCTCTCTCGTGCGGCATAAGTCAGTCTGTCCCCCACCCCTTGCTGCACTCTCTGCCCGAAGACAGGTCTTGTACCCTCGTCCCTCGTCTTCTGTAGTTTGTCATCCATTGTGCGGCCCGTCGACTGATCCACTGTTTGCACTACCCTCTACGTGACTCGAGGATGGTCCGCAGTCTGCTCCGCCACCTGATCCAACGTGTCAATACAATGCACCCTCTCATCCCTAGCCTCATCTATCGTCTCGACCGCCCTCTGCGGCGTGGTGAACTGCATAGGCTGCGTCACTATATGCTGAGGCCGACGCTCAACAGTTGGCTGGTCAGTCCTCTGAACTCTCTCGCTGGCAGTAGCGGAAGCTACACCGATAGTAGGAGACGGCTCCATGAATGTTCTCTCCTTACCTCCCTCTCCATGTCGATGAGACGACTCAGGGCGGTCATGGCACGGTGGAGTGGTAGCACGTGTCGTCCATGTGTTAACCGCATCTCTCTCTCTCTCAGCGGATGCACAAACCTCCTCGTAGAAGCGTTCCCTGTCCTCCTCATCACCATCCCTGGCTAGCAGACCCTCGATATTAACGTGCCCGCCCACCCTCTCCCGTAATGTCCTTACGAAACGTAAATTGTCGTCCACGTAAGCATCCAAGTATGTGTGAGGATCCAGGGTCGCCCACTCGTCGAGGATGTCGTGCCTTCCCTTTGTTCCTCTCCGCTTGCGCCTGCTCCATCATCGGATGGTGCATCCACACCGCATCCTGGCAAAGGGACTCATGCCCACCATCATCGTCACCACCCCACGCCGATGTAATGTGATCTATACCACTTGTAAATATGTTCCAACAGTAATCACACTCTTCGAGCCTTTTGTTTTTACTATTGTTTAATTGTTTTTGTGTTTTGCATTGATTGACTCTGAGCTAATTATGACCATTGAACAAACTTGGTGGACAAACACAATTTATGTGAAGCTGAAGTAGCAGCTGCTTGAGCATTTGACAAACTAACACCATCCATTTCAAAAATAATTTGTCCTTGGGAAACACGAGCAATCCAACCTATAGGGTTTCCTTTTCCTTTTTCCATCCTTACGCTTGTAGGTTTGTTGGTAATAGGAATATCTGAAAAAACTCTCACCCATATTTTACCATTTCCCCAAAATTTCCTTGTGATGGCATGACGCGCCGCTTCAATCCCTTAATATAATATGCGACCTGCTTCACAACTTTTAAGGTCATATTTTGATGGTTGGCCCGAGCCGCAGCCTCCCATCATACAGGTCTACGTCGTCGGGCACAACATCGTCATCATCGATCTCCTCGGGCGGATCCTCCACCATATCCGCCCACATGTCGATGTACCAGCCCTCAAGTTCCAATGAGTAAACACAAGTTTTTTCACACTCCGTGATGATAGTTTGTTCCACCTTTTTGTGTGAATGCAGTCGTGTGTAGCCCAATTGCGCTCGCACGGAGTCGTTGTGGACCACATCCCAAGCGCCCTCTTGGCGATGATCTGCAACCTGGGGTGACCGCCACCGTGAAGGTGCCACCACAACGTGGGGTGCATGGCCTCGTTGGCATCATCCCCCGTGGCGAACTCCTCCCACCAGTGCGGTCCCTTCGCTGGCCAATACTTGGGATCGTCGGACCTCCAACTAGTGCAGCAACAACTTGACCTCCGACCAGCTCCTCCATACCCAACCCCCCCTCCAACCGTTGTGCGTGCTCTGCAGCCAATCTCTGTGACAATGGGTCCTTCAAAAGCCCCCGCACGTTGCAAACGCTCCAATATCTCCCCGGTCCGTCGTCGACAATGGCACTTCACTTTAGTGAAGTGCTCAACTCCCCTGGATCTGGATGAAGGGAATGACTCATCGCAGAGGCGACATTGCGTAAGGAAGTTGCCCCCTCCCGCAAGACCGTACTCCTGCCCCTTAGCAACCCACTCCCACATTGGATGTGTACGCTGCAAATCCTGCTGATTCGAATTGGGAAGAGGATGAAATGGTGGGTAAACTCCACATCATCTGCTAAAGGATGCCATTGTGTTCTTCGACAACATAGGTTGGCAGTACTGAAAAAAAGGGAGACTAATATGGAGTAGCAGGATAGGCTCACGAATGCGGCAGATGGTAGTTTGTGTGCGGCCACGTATAAACCGTCACATGAATGCGACAAGTGGCAACTGCATCAACCCATGACGAATGACGGTACATCAGCGATGTAGTAGCAACTATATCGAGGAGGGGGCGAAAAGAAGTTGGAGGATGACAAGTTGGATGATAAGTAAAGCGACAACGAGTAGGAGGTAGGAGGGGGGGTGGAGGAGATGGAGAGGATAGATTGACCCAATCAATCTATCAATCAATCAATTAGTCAATCAATCGATCAATCATTCGATTCAAGATCCAATCGATTGGATGTGAAATGGATTGAGTGATTGATTGGTTTGATTGATTGATTGATTGATTGATTGATTGATTGATTGATTGATTTGTATATGAAATGATTGACTGGTTAATTGATTAACAATCGAGTCTGTTGCTAGAAAAAAAATTAAAAATTGAAGAGTGGCAGGACATGGCGGAAGCTTTGACATTCCCGCTCACAGTCCAACAGGTCGACATGATCCCCCATCCACTACTTATCCATTGCTTCCTCCTTCTCCCCTTCCTTCCCCTCCTCCTTCTCCTCCTCCTCCTCCTCCTCCTGTTCATTATCCTCTCCCGCCGCCGCGGCCAAGTACTACAACTCCGTCGCGCCACCGCCCACCCCCTTCTCGCTGCAGTCTTATACTTCCCCCCCGGCCTTCCCCCCATCGATCTTTTTTCTTTTTCTTTTTCTTTTTTCAATCAATCAATCAATCAATCATTCAATGAATCCAATCAATCAATCGATCGTATTTATATCCAATTTAATCGACTGAGTGATTGAATTGAATCATTGATTGATTGATTGATTGATTGATTGATTGATTGATTGATTAATTGGTTGGTTGATTGATTGATTGATCAAAGCTCATTGAACGACGCCGCGTCCCTCTTCCCCTCATCCTTCATCTCTTCCTCCTCCTCCCCATTCTCCTTCTCCTCATCCCCCTCTTCGCCCTTGTGCTATTAATAGGGACCCCCACTTTTTAGCCCTGGTTAACCCTTTCAACCCTAAGAAATGCATTCGAGATTATTTTTTTTTTTTTTTTCTGTTTTTTTTTTCTTTTGCCCTATTTTATTTTTGGTCAAAGTCTGTGTGTGCCAAGTTGGTGTTTGTTGGGGTCTTGGAGTTTGACTGTTTTGGCTAGCCCCGAAAAATCCTGAAAATCCTGAAAACTGTAATAAGTGAATTTTGCGTGAAAACACAATTTTGCCTTGCCGTTTTATAGGTTTTTGAGGTTCTTTTTTCATTTTGTTTTTTGTAAGTAGTTTGTATGATCTCCACTCTATGAATTGATGGTAAGTTTGGTTAAAATGACCCTTGGGGTTTGTTATAAATGGTTTGACAAGTGGTCTGAAAATTGAGGTTTTCGTTACCCGTCTCTCTGGATTGATTGATTAATAAAAAAAAACAAGCAAGCAGGAAAATCGACGGGAGGGGAAAATTATGAGATTAAGGCGGCATCCCCTTTCCCTTGGTCCCCATCTCCTCCTCCTCCTCCTCCTCCTCCTCCTCCTCCTCCATAACCTCGTACACCTCCTCGTCCTCCTCGTCTTCCTCGTCCTCCTCGTCTTCCTCGTCCTCCTCGTCTTCCTCGTCCTCCTCGTCCTCCTCCTCCATGACCTCGTACACCTCCTCATCGTCGTCGTCGTCCTCCTCCTCCACCATGACCTCGTACACCACCTCCTCGTCGTCGTCCTCCTCCTCCTCCTCCTATTGGTTATCCTTAACTGCCACGGCGGCCACATGCTGCATATCAACCGTGGCGCCCCCGTTTCCATTTTCGCCTCAATCTCATACTTCCACCCCCGGCCACCCCCGTCGCCCTTTTTTTTTCCCAATTACTTTGTTAAATCTATCAATCAATCAATCATATCAGTCAATCAATCAATCAATCAATCAATTAATCAATCAATTAATCAACCAATCAATCAATCAATCAATCAATCAATTAATCAATCAATCAATCAATCAATCAATCAATCAATCAATCAATCAATCAATCAATATGCTGCATCTTCATTGTGGCAACCCCCAACCCCGTCTCGCCGTAGTGTCCCCCTGTCGGTCCTCGTGTTTTCTTTTCTCATTTTAAATCAATAAAGTCAATCAATCAATCAATCAATCAATCAATCAATCAATCAATCAATCAATTAACCGACCCACGATCCAATTGTTTGGATCGTGAGCCGATTGATTGATTGATCAGATGAATTTTTCAATCCAATCAATCAATCAATCGAGTCACGATCCATTCAATTGGATTGTGAGTCGCTTGATTGATTGATTGATTGATTTTTTGAAGAAGAAAATAAAAGAGGATCCACTAGGGTGAGAAAATAGGAGTGGAAGGTGATTAGGGGTTTGGGGGTGTTATGGCCACAGTGCATGATTTGGCCTTCACCGCGGAGGAAGAGAACTACGACGAGGAGGAGGAGAGGGAGGATGAGGGAGAGATGGAGGTGAACCATTACGAAGCAAAACGGAGGAGGAGGACGACGAGGATGAAGAGTTGGAAGGGGAGGAAGAAGGTAGGAGGAGGAGGAGGAACTGAGATGAGACGGGGAAAAAATGAGGACGAACAACAAAGGAGAAGGAGGAAAATGAGGATGAAGAGACGGAGGAGGATGAAGGTAGAAGGACGAGGAAGGTGGGAGGAGGAGGAAGGTGGGAGAAGGACGACGGCGGCGAAAAGGAGGAGGAGAAGGGGACGAGAACGCCACAAAATAAACGACGAGGAGGAGAAAGGAGAAGAAGAGGAGGAGGAGGAAGAGGAAAAACAAGAAGAGAAGGAAGAGGAGGACGAGAACGAAGAAGAGATGGAGGAAAATGAGGGTGAAGAAGGAAGGACGAGAAGGACAACGAGGACAAATAGATGGACGACAAAAAAAAAGGTAGGAGGAGAGAGACAAGGAGAAAAAGGAGGAGCAAGTCACAAAGGACGAGCACGACACAAAGTAAAAAGACGACACAGAAAGAGGAGCATGAAACAAAGGAAGAAGAAGAGGAAGAGGAGGAGGAGAGGGAGGACGAAAAAAAGAAGCACAACTCAAAAAAAAAAAAAAATTGACAACACCGTTAAAGAAGAACAAGAGAAGGACGAGGGAGGAGCATGACACAAAGGAAGAAGAAGAGGAAGAGGAGGAGGAGAGGGAGGACGAAAAAAAGAAGCACAACTCAAAAAAAAAAAAAAATTGACAACACCGTTAAAGAAGAACAAGAGAAGGACGAGGGAGGAGCATGACACAAAGGAAGAAGAAGAGGAAGAGGAGGAGGAAATATCTACCTACCTACCTGACTATTATCTTACTAATTCTTTTATCCATCTAGGATTCTAGGACACATGTTGGAGCCTTGCTTAGTTGTTCGAAATGTTCGACCGGACACCCACCCAACAATCTACTCAGACGTGTGTTTATCCGGGGAGGGGAAAATTGAAAAAATAGATCTGTAAAATTTGAAAACTATATATATACTAAATTACCAATCGGGTTGCCCGGGTTTCCTTGTTTTCTCGGGCGGCCCGACCGTGCAAGGTTCAAGAAAGGTCTCAACTAAAGAAAAAAAAAATAAACGTACATACAAAAACTCCGAAAAAAAAACTTTGTTATGCAGAAAATTGAACTGTACAACTCTTGTCTCAGAGTCATATCAATTTTTTTTACCAGATTTAAAATAACGATGAATTTTATTTATTTATTATTATCTTACCAGGCCAAGTATATGTCCTCTTCTCTCTCTCTGCCTACGGTTTACCGGGCAGTTCTGTTTGTGACGATATATAGTAGATACCTAGATTGTTTTTCGGGAGCCTGGGCACCTAACTTATGCTCAGGTACACACCCGGGTGCCTGGCGGGGCATGAGCCCCGAGCAGGGTTCCGAGCAACACCGACGCAAAAAAGGAAAAGGATAAAAATGTTGTTTAGAGTAGCAATACAAACGGATTTTGGGTTGAAGCCTGCGTAGCACGACCAATGTGTTCGCGCACCTCCACGTTCGCGCAACGTGCGAACGTGTTCAGGCGAACATAATTTTTGTTTTGTAAAAAAAAATTCGGTTTTTAATTTTTAACTCAGGTTTGGCTAAACTCTGAACATAACTCCAAGGCAAACATTGTTTGTATTGTTGTTTTACATTACATACAGTTTTTTCAGATGTTTCTGTGATTTTTTTTTTTAATGTTCGCGCTCGAAGGGTTTTGGACACTGTTTGTGTTCGCCTCATGACGCGAACACGGTGCTACATAGGTTGAGGATCACATAAGAATTCCTTACGGAATCAAAGATAAAAAATAAAATAACAGAATGACTTAAAGGCACCACCCTTTAAACCCTTTTAACGGAAGTTTAGCCCTTTTAAAACCAATGAATACCCCCCCCCCTCCCCCACTTCACTACCAACTTGCAAAAAATGAAAAGAGCCCGAATTCGGGGTCCTCCCAGTCAGGCGTGAGAATCTTGCTAGGTAGATACTACAATGGTGGAAGTATCTTGGTCGAGGGTCCTCCCCAACTCCGCATTCGATTAAAAGGTAAAGAATAAGATTGAAAAGCAAACTAAATGCAAAAGTGATCGGGACCGCTCCAAGGGGTTTGCGTATTGTGTGTGCATGTGTATGCTTGTTCGTGTGTGTGTGTGGTTTTGTATGTTGTAGATCCTCACAAGAACCACCCTTGTTCCACCTATAGTTACCTTTATTGGAGATAGTGGAACACATTTAGGATGCGCCAAGCCAACTATGAAATAACTTTACCTATACAACAAGTTTTTGCAACAGTTTATGTAGCTACTATAACAGTGGTTGGAGGTGTTGCTGCAAAAGTGTTTGCAACAAGTATTACAACAATGTTTGGAATAACCATAATCGTAACAATATCTTTAGGAACTACTGTTGTTGTAGCTCCTGCAACAACCGCTGATACATCAAACGGTGTTGTAGCGGCTGCAATTTTTTTTTCCTTTTCGTTATAATTTATTATTCATCTATATGTATGTCTGTTTGTTTATCTGTCTGTCTAATTGGCTTTCTAACAATATATGTTTGTGTATTTGATTGCGTACATGCCTATCTGTCTGCATATTTGTTTGCATGTTTATTTGCATGTCTCTCTCTCTCTCTAAATCATGTAGTGTAAACTCTACTATATATAGTCCACAGTCTATGTGTTGCACTCTACACTCCATATCCTACTATCTATATGCTTGTCTGTTCATCCATCCGACCGTTTATTCCTCTGCCCAGTTGTCTGTCTGTCTGTCTGTCGGTCTGTTTATCTGCTTATCTGTCTATCCATATGTACGTCTGTATGTCTTTTCATCTTTTCGTTTATCCGTCTATTTATTTGTATTGTAGCCTTATTGTTATTTTTCTCTTCTTCTTTTTCCCTCCCTCCGCGGGAGGCGAAGTAGGAGGAGGGAGAGGTTGGGGAAAGGAGGGAGGAAGGAGGGAGGGAGG